ATATTGATTTATATACATCAGTGTATTATCAGCATTCTTCTCATGTCGAATCTCATACTGAAACCAAATCACTGTGCTATTCTAGCTACTAAAAAGAAAATTAGCTCAATCCAGGACAGCTGTATTCATTAAGTAGCCTGAAGTTCATCTAGAAAAACTAAGTGGTTACACATTTTTTTAGAGAGGCAGCTGAGCAGGTGACTGTGGGAGGGTTGCTCACCTTGTTTGCCCTTGTACTGTGGGGGTTGGTATCAAGTGCTAAAGGAAGAGTGGCAGCCAGGCATGGTGACTCACCAATTCATTATTTCTTCCTAAAGAGGCAGAGCCTTTGATTCAAGGAGCAGTTTGCTGAATTAAATCCCAAACCTGCTGTGGAATTGCACGGCTAATCTGTGCTCTTTTCACTTTTATTTGTTGTGTACCACCTGAGCAAGGCTGTAAGGCTTGGGCAGCAATCCTATCTGCAAGTGATCAGGTAAAATTTGGAATCTGAACTGTCTTTAGGTGTGACTAAACAAAACAAACAAAAAAACCCTCCACAGTAGTAATGGAATCTCTAATGGTAGCCATGGCAGGGAGCAGAGAGGAAAGAAGGGAAGAGGAGAGAAAGGAAGGCAGAGCCAGCATGTTCTTATTACCTATAGTGTGGAGGGGAAAAAAAAAAAAGTTTTGTTCTTGCTTCCTCAGGCAAAATCTTCTCCTTTCATGGTTCATGTCTGTAATCTTGTTGTGTGGCAGATCTCCACTGTGCTCGTATTCATGTGCATCCTGTTCTGCTGTGTTGTCAGAGCAAAATATTATTATAATACAGGTTCAGCTGTAAATGTTTCTTGCTGTATCCTGTAGCATCAGAATGCTGTTGGGCATGCCAAAGGTGTCTCTGCTGCCTTGTTTTCAAAGTTGTCTGACAATACCGTTTCTTTAGAAGCCAGGCACTGTTTTGGGGTGACATGAGTACAGTGCCTAATTATCCTTTTTATTTTAAGCTTAGAAAATCTGACTGTGATTTATGTACAGGTGTGTGCTATGTTATCTGCAGAGCATGGGGACTGAGGCAGTGGAGAGTCACCCACAGTTATCACAGGCAGGTGTAATGGGTGTGAAACTCTGTGTGAGGAGCTAACAGCAGGGGCTGTGTGGGCCTTCAGCGCAGTGGGCGACTGATGCAGATGTGGGGCTGTGCTGGAGGGAATAGGAAGGTGGCCATGGGTTGCACACTGGTTTGTGTAGCTCACGTGCCTATTTGTGCACTAGGTTTACACCTCTCTGCTATTTCAATAGCTTCTATTTCCTGTTGATGTGAACATGCCTGACGCCAAGCTGCGTTACTGTTCCTTGGCCGTCTTAGCAGGACATCTTTCTTTTCTGCTGAAAAGGATGAGAATGGAGATGGTGCAAGGGAGCTGAAGAACATGAAGTCAGATCGCATGCAAGTGCTACAGATGGATGTGTGCAGTGACCAGGAGGTGGCTCAGGCTGTGGACTTTGTGAAGAGGACCCTGAAGGAGACAGAGGAAGGTACGTGGAGATCTTAGTGCTTCCAGCACAGCCACCTCTTTGGTGTTCTCACAGAATCCTTCCTGCAAAGTAGGTGCTGTGCTGGCCAGGTCGTTCCCTCTCTGCACCACCAGAAGAGGGTTAACAAGCCTGGAGACCTGTGACAGAGTGTGGCTGGCAATCAGGCAGTGCTGTACCTGGGTCACTGAGGAGAACTGTCTTTGCTGTTGATGTGTTGGCCACATGGGAAGAGACCAAGACTGGCTGGAGGATTAGGCTCTAACGTAGAGTTAGAGTTACCCTAATCCCACAAAAAGCAATGAGAGGCAGCAAGCCCACAAGAGCCTGTGTCTTTCTCCTTGAGTGTCTGTGAAGGGCATAGGATGACCAGAGCATGATCCCCTCCTGGTGCTCCTGCTGCAGCCTAGCTCACACAGACCTTTCTGTAGCGACTCTGCTAGTGAAGCTGTGACAGTACCTGGCTGCTTACTGCTGCCCCCTCTGCTGTGCTCATACAACCTGTTTGTGTAACTTAGTGCTGAGCTTAAGCATAAAACTGACCTCCCCCCAAACCTGGATTATTCTTTAGCCAGGTCAATCCATGCTTTCAATTTGCCATGCAACATCCCAGAGGAGATGTGGGGCAGGATCCAGGATGGTCTTGGCATAGGCCACTTTAATCCACATGCCACTTTAACTGTGAGTCCAACTCGTGGGCCCAAAGAGCATGTAAAAGGAGTCCCTTCTGCATGCTTCTTTCCTTCTTGGAAGTGGTTTGGTGGTGGGATGTGAGCTTACAGTCGGAGCCGGGCGTGACACCACCTAACCCTCTTCCCATGTGGTGAGGTTGTGAAGGCTTCTTGCCCTGCACAGGTTTCTCTGCAGCCTCTGTGCAAGCAGCAAGCTGGACAGCAGCCGTAGACCCAGGCTGGGGGTGGACTCAAAGCTTGGATGAGACTGCCATGGGCCTGTCTTTGTTCACAGCAAGTATAAAGCTACTAAATAACAGTATCTCTAATCTTCATGCAAATTATATGAGCACACCCTTCCTCCTAAACAAGCATATGAAATGTAACTAAGTTAGGTACAAGCTCTGATCCCACACATGTTCTTTCTGTGTGATTTTTCTTCCTACGCAATCACCTAGCCCTTGTCACACAAAGCTTCTCAAGCTTTCCCTGAAGAGCCCAGCAACAGCAGTGGTGGCACAGAGCCATTTCCCACTGAGTGAAAGCTTGTAAGGGAGCAGCTCTGTTGCTTCTATAAATGCAGCAGTGTTTGCAAAAACATGTGTGTAGCAGGGACAGAGAAGTCTTGCATCCTTGATCAGCAAGTTGGACTGGTTCCTCCTGCTCTTGAGAGTCTTATCCTGTAGTTGTTTGCTCCAGCACAGTGTGCAAAGCAGCAAGGGCTTCTTTTTAGGTGCATTGGTGTGACTGAGGTTTGGGGCTTGCCAATAGTTAGTGCTCATAAGTGCTGGAACACCAAGACTGTTGAGACTGAGGTGCCTGCAGAGAGGTGCTTGTTGCACACCAAGTGTGTCCCCAGGGGAGCTAGTGCTGAACAGTTCTTGTGCTGCACATTTATACCTCTTCTCACTGTGCTGTGTACATAAGGCTAAACTCATTCTGATGGGAGTGCCCCTGTTTGTTTTCAATCTTACGCAGTTCCCACCGTATTGTTGACACTAAAGAAATAATAGTGATAAGGTTCTGCTCAATAAACACAGCACTGTCCAGCAAACAGCCCTGTGACCGGGTACCTATCAGCACTTTGTTCTGTACCTAACATGACCTGATTGGTGAGCAATGAAATTCCAAGAATGAACTATTGTAATGAGTGGTTTCTTTAATGTCCCTGAATCTAACCTCATAACCCAAGAAATGGGAAATAGTTGTAGAGAAGTTTAGGATTAGGAATACTCTGCAGAGGTCAGTTTGGAACTGACAGTTTAAGTTGAGTTGTTCGTGGGCTTTGGTAAATTCCTGCCAAATTTGCTCTGCATAGCTGCTTCTTATTAGGGAAATGGCACCATCAGATGCCCTGTTTCCATGGTCCTGCTGCTAGTGATTAGAGTCTGCTTTGCAGCAGCACAGGAGACCCCATTCAGGCCGAGATGCTGTGCTGGCTGCCAGATGAGTGTGAATTTTGGAGCTATCTTGACCTATTAGAACTGGCAGCTTCAGTGAGTGCAGCAGCTACAGGCAGGGAATCTTTGGCAGAGCAGGAGCAGAACTACCTGACTGCAGCATTTAGAAACTTGAATTAGTAAAAATGGAAGTAAGGATAGATGAGCAAGATGTTTTATTGGCTTTTGCTGCAGGCCATGATTTAGCTGTTATCCCAAACAGCCCCTGGGACTATTGTGACCTAGTGGGGAATGGGAAAGA